TTTGTTTCCATCTCTACTTACTGTCAATCTGTATGTTGAAATCCTAACCCCTAGTGTGACAGTATTAGAAAGCTGGTATTTGTAGATGATTAGGTCCTGAGGTACAGCCTTCATGAATGGAATTAGGCCCTTATAAAAGAGAGCTCCTTTGCCCTTCTGCCATGTGAGGACACAGCAAGAAGACAGCTGTCTGTGAATCAGGAAGAAGGTCCTCACAAAACACTAAATTTTATCTAGGAGTTTCCAGTGTTCAGAGCTATGAGAAATAAAATTTTGTTGTTTATAAACCACCCAGTCTCTGGTAGTTTGTTAAAGCAGCCAAAACCAACTCAGACACAGAGAGGATGGTAGTCTGAAAACCCCACTCGGGGAAGGGTGAACATTTCCAAGAAGAATTATCCATTATATTAAATGCTGCTGCTAGGTTAAGTAAAATAAGGAGATTCAACACAGGATCTACTACAGGATTGCGTAAAAGATTTATGAAAGTCATTGATGAGCCATTTCTGTGGAGTAGTTGGGGAGAAAGCCTTGTAAGTGTCAAATTGAAAGAGAATAAGAAAAAAGCAAATGGAAACAATGAATGCATGCTAGTACTTTGAGTAGCTTTTTAAAGAAAAAAAATATAGAAACAAGGTTTTAATTGAGGGAAAAAATGAGGCTGAGAGATATTTTTAGATTGGACGAAATGCAAAATGGTTGTATGTTTCATGAATGATTTGGCAGAGAGGAAAAAATGAAGTAAAGGGAGAAGTTGCTGGTACAACATCATTGAGCAGATGAAGCAAATGAGATCTAGCAGGTAATTAAAGGTATTAGGCTTAAGTAGGAACAATGATCAGGTATAAAACCATCTTTATAGGGCTATTTATAATAATAGAAAAATTGAAAACTTTTTAAAGATCTTTCTGCCATTTTACATTATTTTTCTGAGAATAAGCAATACAGAAAATACTTTTTTCTATTTTTAGTGAAAATATAATTAAATTGCATACGTGTTAATGCATTTTCTCATTTCTGTATTATAAAATTATTGTATTCTGTAATTTAAAAACAAAAAAACAATATCTACTAATTCCTTATTTAAAATTACCCAGAATGAGGGTTTTAGACAAGTGGGTAATCTGCTAACAAAAGGATTTTTTAAATAAATTCCTTTATAATTTTTCATTTAATTTGAGTAAAATTTTCTTTTCATAAAAATATATCTTTGTTAATTTCTGTACTACTTGAATAGATGTGTAAATGAAATTAATTGCACTAAAGTATGTTCTTTTATGCCTTTTCTAAATTTTCATATACATGGGATATTTATCAGTCTAAAACGTGATGTGAAGTCTGAATTCAAACTTCTAAGTGCACAATTTTTGTCAAAAGAATTTCAAAGCAATAGAAAGTAAATGACTCAATTGAATTAATTAGTACTATCACACATATGCATCAATTTCTAGTTTATAAAATAACAGTCAAATAAATGTTTTGTTAAAATATAGTTGACTTTAACAAAAAGGTGTTAATCTATTGTAATAAACAATAAGAATCTCAATTTTTAAATTAGAACTGAAAATAAGTAATAAACTAAACCTACAGTGTGATTCCAATTCTCGACATGTTCTGGATTTATACATGGTAATATTTTATCTCACTTATATTGTCTTACCCAATTCTGCTATTAAAAATTCACTCTGAAACTAATCTCTAATTGAGATTTTTCAAGCAATTATGTAACCTGCAAAAATTAAAAATTATACTCATAAAATGAATTGTGTTATTGAACTTCAATTAATTTCAGCAGAATTTTTGCTTTTTTAAGAGATATATTTAAATCTTTTCTAATATTTAAAGGATTTTATAACGTGAAATTCATTGAAGTTTCTTCTATTTAGCTTTTTAAAATATTCTCACATAGTCACTATCTAATTTAAATTTCTGAAAATCAATATATTTGAAGCAAATAAAAATATCAATATATTTGACTTGATCATTGTATTTGAAGCCTTATCTAAATCTTAAAAAAAATTTTTGGTGAGGAGACTGATTCAACAAAAGAATGTGAATGAATCAATAAAATTTACTGTTATTTTAAAAGAATATATACATATTCTTTTCACTGATAACAAGTCAATGAGGAAAATTTTATGTCTAGATAAAAATTAGTGATTTATGAAAAGAAAATCCAGCTTTTCCATTTTGCTAATTTATTCAATAAACATTTACTAATATATTATTAGGTGCCAGATTCTATGGGTGAAACCTGAATAATATACAATTAAATAAATCATTGCCTTCTTGAAACTCATAATGTAATACTGAGAGTTCTCAGTTGAAATTATAAGTGAACTTTTATAGATTAATAAACCTTCTAAAATTGTATGCACATTTTTTGTTATGAGCATACACACATTTTCTCCCTAGCTTTTATTAGATCTTCAAAAAGATCAATGATGGTAATCCAATAAATATCAATAACTAGAAGGAGCAAAAGAGACAAACAGCTTAGCTAGTAATTGAAATAAAATGGGCAAAATAAGATATATGCCAAAAGCAACTCTGACCTTCCTCCACCCATCAAAAATGGGGAGAGAACTAATTCTATCTGGGAAACTCAAGAGAGAATTTACAAAAAAAAAGAAAATAGCAAGCAGACATTACAAATGTGGGTGTACAATTTAAGAAGCCTCCAGATTTTTGCAAATATAATTGTATGGGCCACCAGTACCGGATAGTTGGGGATCTTTGTGGACCTAAGACATTAAAAATGTATAACTATCTCAATGGCAGATCATACATTTAAGTAATTTTCAAGTATAACTGAATTGCAATTCTAAATCAATATCATGCATTTCTAGAATTATCTTTTTCTGTTAAAAAAAAAAAGTAAAATGTTTAGGGTAAACATGTTCTCAAGAGTCACCAACTTAAACTTACTAAAGTCATGAGAGAGTGCCGTATTAAAATGAAAGAACAAGTTAATAATAAAGAGACCTAGTAATTTATTAACCTATCAACTTAAAAGTAATTTCTTTAAAGAAGGAAAATTATCAAAAAAGTATTTATTGAAAAAGGTTTTTAATTATCCAAGGAAACAATTTGGTGTTGAGAAGTCAAAAAAAATTACAGACTCAGTTCTCAACAGAAATGTTATCTTGAGGTTCAGTAAATATAGGATATAATAGTTTGAAATTTCAAGAATACCTTAATAAACAACACTATAAAACCCATAAATGTGTTCTCTGACATGGGAAATAATTTTGCATAATAAATGCCTATCATAAAGTATAAATATATCATATTAAACTCATAAAATATTAAGAAAGAAAAAGCAAGAATATCTTAAATACTAGAAAGATTAGTAGGAACATCCTTTACATAGAATGCATCACAAAATGAAAAAGGATACCATTAGATTGGCTGACATTTATTATTTGTGGATAACATTAAAATGAGTTTTTGTAAGGAGAGAAATTGCTCAACTAAAGATGTAATATGATTTAATATTATCAAACTATGAACAACTAAAATACCCAACTTATCAAGACCAATATTTTATTAATCAATACTTAATGACCTTCCCTCACTGTGCTCATCAGTCTAAAGTAAACAAACGTCATAAATTTTGTCCAGTCCTAATCAGTGCCCCATTTACAAGACTTGCCTTAAGTCACCTAGCATAGATCCTAAAATCATATAAATACCCTCCCTTGACTTCCACCTTCGAAAATAGTACTAATACTCTAGAGAGATTCTCCCTTTCTGAAGTAAGTCTAATAAAATTAGCTTTGCTTAACCAGCAGGCATTAGTCATTGTCTTTTGGAGGAATCAACAGCCAACAGGATAACAATTCTTCCATTACTCATTTTCATTTCTTTTATTTTCTCCTTCGATGGAATGCTGAAAAGTATTTAGATTGTGACATTTTATTTTTATTTACCTTTTTTTTTCTTTTTCTTTCTCTCTCTCTTTTTTTTTTTTTTTTTTTTTTTTTTTGAGAAGGAGTCTCACTCTGTCGTCCAGGCTGGAGTGTAGTAGTGAGATTTTGGCTAACTGCAACCTCTGCCTCCCAGATCCAAGCAATTCTCCTGCTCCAGCCTCCCGAGTAGCTGGGACTGCAGGTGCATGCCACCATGCCTGGCTAATTTTTATATTTTTAGTAGAGACAGGGTTTCATCATGTTGGCCAGGCTGGTTGCAAACTCCTGACCTCAAGTATCTGCCCGCCTCAGCTTCCCAAAGTGCTGGGATTACAGGCATGAGACACTGTGCCTGGCCTTAGATTGTGACATTTTAAGTAAGAAGAAAAACAAATATTCAATATAAATAAACTTGTCATTAGCCCCAAAAAGGAACACTCATTTTGGTTTGCACTCAGAATTAATTCTTAAATTAATTGTTACATATCACTATAAAATATTTTACTTTCAATAGTTAGTAGGGTAGGAATGGGGGACCTATTTCATTCTAACTCTCAAAAGGGCAATAAAGGACTATTGTGAACAGAGTTTCTAAAATCCTTCAAGTTATGATCAGAAGGTACATAACTTAAAAGACACTTTTATTTATTATGAGCTTAGGTACAGAATCCATGTTCATTAAAAGAAAATAAAAGATCAACACACAATTTTATTCGATCCACAGGGCTTTCTTGTGAGCTATCTGATAAACAATTATTTCAATAAATACTAAGAGATTTCAATGTATGGATACAAACAAGTATGTAAACAAGTGAACTTTAATATTTGTAGGAATATAAATAAATTATATATATGAATACTGCAAAGCATATTTAGAGATAGAAAAGTTGTTTAAATAATTCTTAAATTCTTAAATAATTATTTTTAAATGTCAGACTACATCTTCAAAAATCTCCTTAGTCAAAATATTTTCATTAATCGGCAATGTGAATAAAATATCTGGAAATGACTTTAATATATCCATTTGTAGTACTTTCTAGAAATTAATTATATTCTTGTGTCATTGCTAAGAAGGAAATATTGACAAACCTCATATGTTGCTGGGCCTGGAGTAATCTCTTTGGACTCTTCAAAGCGCTTTGATGCTTTCACAAATAAGGGTATGGGGCAAGATTTCCTTAAAACAGGATTGTATGCTGCAGGACCTGAGAGATAACAAATGTAAAAATTATGATAAAGTATGTTTTAAAATTATTGATTTTGGTCATATGAATATTAGGTTTGTGCTTTGAATGTATAAAATTAGCATGAAACAATCTTGAACCCATTTTTTTTGAATGCTTAAAATCATTTGGTTTATGTCTTTGAAATATGATAAGCATAAGATAGTGGCATCTGTTTACCTAATAATTAAATATATTACAGCAATAATTTCCAGAAAAGAAAAAACAGCAGTACTCTCTCAATACACTTTTACATCATGAATGAAGATGCTTAACTCTTATATCCTAAATATTCATTCACATGTTCAGTGAGGAGTTAGGGCTTGAACTGTATTTGGAAATACAGCAGAAAGGTGCTTTAACAGCATTCTGGGCACTACACATTACAGAAATCAAGACATGAAGAAGGAATGTACATGGAGCAATCGAATGTAGTGAACAGATGGTTTGCATGGAACAGGGCCTAATCGTAAATAAGGATTTCGGTACTTAAGCCAATGGGTTCCAACTTGTATTCTTTAATGCCCCCAAGTTCTCACAGAAGTGACCAGAGGATAATTTGTAGGTAAAGCCCAAGTAGAAAATATTTGAATTATTTTCATTCACAACATCTCTAAAAACTTTTGAGAACCACTTTCATAGACAATGGGTAGCTCTTAAAAGTTTGAGATTAAATAGTCATGAAAAGTAGTAGTTTAGAAAGTAAATTCTGGCAGATTCTTGATTCTCATGAAGAGTGTACAACCAAGATCCCTCGCATGTGCAGTTCAGGATAGGGTTCGAGCTCCCATGAGAATCTAATGTCAGGCTGATCTGACAGGAGATAGAGCTCAGGCAGTAATACTCACTTGCCCTCTGCTCACCTCCTGCTAGGCAGCCTGATTCCTAACAGGCCATTGACAGGTATAGGTCCTTGGCTCAGGGATATAGGACCCGTGGTCTAGTGAATGGAACCTAGCTAGTACAACTTCACAGACAAAAGACAGGGAGAGGTAATTTTTTTCCTCATTCATATTTTAAACAATACTATTGAGTGTCTATCACATGCCAAACCTCGTGTTTCAAGAGAATGTTAGAGGTATACTATATCAAATGTTTCAAAAGGAGAGAAGACTTAGGAAGGACACTGTAGAATATGTGGAATATAATTTTAGAAGAATGCTAGTGAAAGAAATTAAATTAGGGGGCATCAGACAGGCAATGTATGGGGAGAGAAAATAAAACCTTTGGTCATAGAATATTGACAATAACTGTAAACAGTGAAATAGTAGACTGAATATAATGATATTAATAAAATACAAAATTAATTTCTCTATATTTCCCTAATAAGCATGCAATTCAATCTACCTACTTTGGCAAATACATTCTTGTTGATGCTTTAAAATCTAAAATATTTTAAAATTAATAGGTTCATATGAAACATTTTAAATGTTTTTAGCTTCATTAATATAGGATACTTCAAAATTTAAGATAAAGGAGGATATCTAGGCTCAGCTCAATGAAGATAAAGGTATCTAAAATTCTTTGTGGAAAGCTAATGTATTTTGATATATCAAGTGAAAAGTTGGTATTTAAAATAAAGGAGGACATCTAGGCTCTAGCCCAGTCATTTTAAATTAGTTCAATTAAGATATAGCTATCTGAAGTTCCTTGTGGGAAGCTAATGTGTTTTGATATGCCAAGTGATAAGGAAAGTGTTTTTGCCAATGTCATCTTACTATAAAACAATAGCGTGCACAACTTTGGAATAATATAATTTATATTTACAGTGCAGAGGAATAATGCACATATACATACATAACATCTTTACTGACAGATATTCATACACAAACTATGCAAGGGAAAATATATCATCAACCACACTACTCAGAATAAAAAAAACACAAACTATCATCCGAAGCTGGGTATATCATTATTCCACAGTCAGTTAATTGAAAACTGTAGTTTTAACCATAAAGATTTATAAAGGTTAATGCAACAGGTAAGGTTATTATCCAAACACTATTGTAACTGTATCTTTCATTTTCAATTGTGAAGAAATATAGTCTATTCTCTGCCCTTACCATCAGGCTAGAGCAACTGATAATTATTTACATTCATAGCTATAACTCATTAAAAGAAAATAAATTATTCAAATGCAATTGTAGATTTCTTTTTATTGGAATTCCTTTGAGAAATATTACGTGAAACAAAACTTCTCAATATGCATCTTGCTGCATTTTAGTACTTAGCCTGCTTTAAGCTACAGAATATTTTTTAAATTAAAAAAAGGCTTATCATACTCAGTCTTAAAATATATTTTCAATTACATACGCTATTGCTTATATGATACAGGTCAAAGACTTACATTGCTTCATCAGCTCTGATTCACAGCTAGATTATGCAGAAACTATCTTCTTTTCAGATACCAAAATGTCACATTTTAATCACAGGTCATAAGGAAGAAAACTTCTCATTCCAAATCAAACACCTATGAAAAGTCTGCCTGAATCATGGCTAGTGTATAATGGGAAATTCAAGAGTAGGTGATTCCTATAATTGCATATTTTCCAGCCCTGTGCCAACTCAGTCTCTATGAAATGTCAACCAATGCTACAGGGCAAAAATGGAACGTAACAGGAACAGTGAGTAATTTAAAATAAAAACCTATGTTTCTGTCCCTTTAATATGAACATCTTGGTACATTAGAGTGGCCTCAGAAAAAAACAACTTCTATTAATAAAGCTACAAAATCTCAGATTTCATAAGTTGTTTGCTTTATAATGAGCTAAAATTATAAATAATGTAATAATTCTTGCTATGAATACTTTTTTTCATGTGAAGATGACACAAATCTACTAAAAATTAAATATCCCATATATGAGCATACTAAAACCCTGGAAGAAAACCTAGGCAATACCATTCAGAACATAGGCATGGGCAAAGACTTCATGACTAAAACACCAAAAGCAATGGCAACAAAAGCCAAAACTGACAAATGGGATCTAATTAAACTAAAGAGCTTCTGCACAGCAAAAGTAACTATCATCAGAGTGAACAAGCAACCTACAGAATGGGAGAAAAGTTTTGCAATATACCCATCTGACAAAGGGCTAATACCCAGAATCTACAAAGAATTCAAACAAATTTACAAGAAAAAAACAACCCCATCAAAAGGTGAGCAAAGGATATGAACAGACATTTCTCAAAAGAAGACATTTATGTGGCCAACAAATGTACGAAAAAAAGCTCATCATCACGGGTCATTACTGAAAATCAAATTAAAACCACAATGAGATACCATCTCCATCTCATGCCAGTTAGAATGGTGATCATTAAAAAAATCAGGAAACAACAGATGCTGGAGAGGTTGTGGAGAAATAAGAACACTTTTACATTGTTGGTGGGAGTGTAAATTAGTTCAACCACTGTGGAAGACAGTGTGGCAATTCCTCAAGGATCTAGAACCAGAAATACCATTTGACCCAGCAATCCCATTACTGGGTATATAATCAAAGGACTATTAATCATTCTGCTATAAAGATACATGCACACATATGTTTATTGCAGCACTGTTCACAATAGCGAAGACTTGGAACCAACCCAAATGCCCATCAATGATAGACTGGATAAAGAAAATGTGGCACATACACACCATAGAATACTATGCAGGTATAAAAAAAGGATGAATTCATGTCCTTTGCAGGGGCATGGATGAAGCTGGAAACCATTATTCTCAGCAATCTAACACAGGAACAGAAAACCAAACACCACATGTTTTCACTCAGAAGTGGGAGATGAACAATGAGAACACATGGACACAGGGAGGGGAACATCACACACTGGGGCCTGTGGGGGGTGGTGGAAGGCTAGGGGAGGGATAACATTAGGAGAAATACCTAACGTAGGGGACGGGTTGATGGGTGCAGTAAACCATCATGGCACGTGTATATCTATGAAACAAACCTGCACGTTCTGCACATGTATCCCAGACCTTAAAGTACAATTTTAAAACAGGGGTTAAAAATCATTTAGGAAATTGTCCATTGAAATTTCATGATTTTAAAATGTCATTTAGAAAGTTTATACATTTATGGAACACATTTTTCTCATACTGATCATACTGATTTTATTCTTCAGCTTTACAAATGAAGTAATAGCAAAGAGAAAAGACTAGTACACAAAGAAATATCATCATCAATGCCAGAGACACATTTAGGTTTAATGTTCTTCCACTACCTCTAAGACTAGATTTGATTAAATGGCAGTTCAGATTATGACCACAGAACTGCACAGTCTATTAAATTGAACTATAGGTAACAAGAGAAAAAAGAGTCCCAATACTACACAAATTTTAAACAAAATATCCATGTTTATTTTCGCCATCCCCTTAAATTATCTGTTCAAAAACAAAATTACATATTTTACATATTTTATTGTAATTATGTAATTAAAATATTACATATTTTAAGAAATAAGATTCTACATATCCAAGGATATCTTAAAGTTATTATAGAGTATCTGGAAGTTATCCTGTACAAAGCCCCTAAGAAATTGACTATTTTTGTGCACTCCAAACTAAGTAGACTGAGAAATTCATCTCCTGGCATCTACCTAAACCATGCACCTGTTAAAACATGTGTTCCCAGATCCGATTAAGCTATAAGGCTGTCACTGTTACAACATATAAATATAAAATCATATGGATTTGGCTGGACTGAAATATCTCTTCAGACAGCAATGTCTGTTTATCTGTGTACCTCTAATACATACTTATCAAAATGTGCATCCATAAGCTCTGTCAAGTGAAGTCTTTCAACTGCTGCTATAAAAAAGATACTTCCACTCTGTGATAACGTAAGTACATTGTAGGTAAATTTGAATAACTTTCACCAGTCATAAATGTGAGTGTAATACAGTTTCTGTGTGAATTATAGGAACCAGCTGGAAGGAAGGATAATCACCCTTCCCCTAAAACCATTTTGAGTAGGCAGTACCTAAAT